CCTCGGTCAGTGCAGTAGTAGCAATGGCTGTGGTACTTACTGTAGGGAAACATCCTGTTACTTCATCCAGATATAAAGTGCTGCCACCAGTAGCATTTGTGTTAAGCAACGTTATTGTGATTGCGGAACCCATCGTTCCGGCTGAAAAAGTGATGTTACTTGTGAATATCTGAAATGTAAAGAGCAGATTTAACATTTATTATAATCACATACTGGAAGATTGATCAAAAATGATCTACGCATGCTTCACTAAGTAATAACGTTAGAAACACTGCGACGTAAAACTTACACCAGTGTATGTCGTGCTGCTGCCGGCAAAGACTTCAACTCCGAGTGTTGTTACACTTCCGTGCCATCTAATCATTAGCAAATCGATAGGTGTGTCTGAGAGAACGAGTTGCAAATAGGCGCCTGTTGAAATCTCATTCGGGACTGTCCAGCCATTCAGGAGAACATAACTAGCATTCAGGCTGCCAGCAATACTATCGGAAATTTCTGTGAGAAACACGTTTCCATTAGAATCCAAAACATCTAAGGTGAGTCCGGAGCATGGTACTAGTGTGGAGATTATTGCGGTGGTAACAGTTGATGGAATTCCAGTGGACGTTTTTGAAGTTACAGTTGGTGGGATTGTTGGGCCAGCCACTTCAGAAGTTGGTAGAGCTGCTGCTGTCGATATTCCTGTTGTCCCTGTAAAGCCTGTCGTTGGTACAGCTGCTGTTCCAGTACCTCTTGTCGTTGGTACAGCTGCTGTTCCAGTACCTCCTGTCGTTGGTACACGTGGTGTTCCAGTACCTCCTGTCGTTGGTACACGTGGTGTTCCAGTACCTCCTGTCGTTGGTACACGTGCTGTTCCAGTAACTCCTGTCGTTGGTACAGCTTCTTCTCCAGTACCTCCTGTGGTTGGTGCAGCTGCTGTTACAGTACCTCCTGTAGTTGGTACAGGTGCTGTTGCAGTACCTCCTGTCGTTGATACAGCTGCTGTTCCAGTTCCTCCTGTAGTTGGTACAGGTGCTCCTCCGGTACCTCCTGTGGTTGGTACAGCTGCTGTTCCAGTACCTCCTGTCGTTGGTACAGCTGCTGTTCCAGTTCCCCCTGTAGTTAGTACAACTGCTGTTCCAGTACCTCCTGTAGTTGGTACAGGTGCTGTTCCAGTACCTCCTGTCGTTGGTGCAGCTGCTGTTCCTGTTCCTCCTGTAGTTGGTACAGGTGCTGTTCCAGTACCTCCTGTCGTTGGTACAGCTGCTCTTTCCGTACCTCCTGTCGTTGGTACAGC